AGGTTGGCGATGCGTCTGCGTTCCGTGTCTGGGGATCTCGGGCGTTTGTCCGCGACTTGTCTGCGGACAAGCTGTCCCCTCGTGCTGCTCCCTGCGTCTTCCTTGGCTTCCCCCCTGACGCGCCAGGGTGGCAGTTCTACCACCCCACCTCTCGCCGTGTTCTGTCCTCCCAGGACGTCACGTTTGACGAGTCGGTCCCCTACTACCGTCTCTTCCCCTACCGCACTCCGTCCCTCCCCCCGCCTCCGCTCTTCCTTGTGCCAGGTCCCCCCCCGGTAGACCCCCTTCCCCCTCAGGGTCCTGCCCCTTCAGGTGTGTCCCAGGTAGACGCAGTCGAGCCTGTGGAGGTCGCTGGTGACTCTGGTGCTGCTGGGGGTGCTGAGCCTGGGGGTGCTGACTCTGGGGGTGCTGAGCGTGTGGGTGCTACGCCTGGGGGTGCTGAGCCTGGGGGTGCTGAGCCTGCGGGTGCTACGACTGGGGGTGCTGAGCCTGAGGGTGCTGAGTCTGGGGGTGCTGAGCCTGGGGGTGCTACGACTGGGGGTGCTGAGCCTGGGGGTGCTACGCCTGGAGGTGCTGGGCCTGGGGGTGCGGAGCCTGAGGGAGCTGGGCTTGCTCGTGTGGCGTCTGGCGGTGCTGGGCCTGGAGGTTCTCTGGGTACTCCGTCTAGACGGGAGCCACTCTCTCCACAGGAGGTGCGTGAGTGGTTTGCCCGGCGCTGGAGGCGTGCTGCTGGAGCTGGAGGTTCTTCGGCTGCTGAGGGTGCTGGTGCCACGGGTCCCGGAGGTGCTCGTACTGGGAGTACTGGAGCTGCTGGGCCTGCGGGTACTACTGGAGCTGGAGCTGCTGAGGGTGTTGGCGCTGAGGGTACTGCTGGCGGTACTGGAGGCGGTCCTGCTGGGGGTGCTACTGGTGCTGCTGGAGGTCCTGGAGCTACTGGAGCTGCTGGGGGTACTGGAGCTGGAGGTGTTGCTGGCGCTGGTGCTACCACTGGGGGTACTGGTGCTGTCCCTGCTGTGTCTGGAGTCGCTGCGCGGCCTCGGCCGTACTTCGTTCCGCTTCTTGAGCAGGTTCTTGGTCTCCCGCCTTCTACTGGTCCTCCTCCCCCCTTAGAGTGTCCACAGCCTGTCCCGTCACAGTTACAGTTACAGCCGGCCTCCCCACTGCCTGCTCCTTCTCCCTACACTGGTCCTACTGGAGGTCTTGTTGAGCGTCGTGAGCCTGCGTCTCGTCCTGCGTCGCCTGTCCGTGCTGCTCGCGCTAGTGGTCGTGGTTCGCGTCAGCGTCCTCCCCCTGTGCCCGGCACGCACCGGATGTCTCTCCGTCTGTCCACTGCTCCTCTGCGTGCCCCTTTGCCTTCTCCTCCTGAGTCCTCTCTTCCTGCTCTTGCTGACCCGGAGTCGGACTCCCTTCGTGCTGCCAGTCCGACTGTCACGCGTCTCCTTGCTACTGTTGTCACTGACCCTTCCTTTGAGTCCACTGCTGCGTCTGCCCTAGTTGCTGAGCTCGTCGACTTTGCTGCTCGCTGTCGTCTAGACTACGCTGCTAGTCTTGTTGCTGGGTCTGAGTCTGTCTGTCCTCCGTCCGTCGGGGGTGAGTGTGCCCTTGGCACGGATGTCCTTGAGGACAGACAGGAGGAGTTCCAGTGTTTGGCTGCTGCTTCACCTCATCTCGTGTCCGTACTGCTTACCCCTGAGGGAGACCCGGATGCACTTGACATCCCGACTCCGCGCTCTTACGCGGAGGCGATAGAGGGTCCCTACTCCTCTCAGTGGCAGGCAGCTATGGACGCAGAGATGGCTTCCTGGAAGTCCACAGGCACCTACATTGACGAGGTTCCCCCGCCTGGGGCGAACATCGTCAGTGGCATGTGGATTTTCAGGGTGAAGCGGCCGCCGGGTTCTCCGCCTGTCTTCAAGGCGCGTTACGTGGCTCGTGGCTTCAGTCAGCGGCAGGGAGTTGACTACTTTCAGACCTACTCTCCCACCCCGAAGATGACCACTCTTCGGGTACTGCTGCACATAGCTGCTCACCGTGACTACGAGCTACACTCTCTTGACTTCAGCACTGCTTTCTTGCAGGGCAGCCTGCACGAGGAGATCTGGCTGCGCCGCCCACTTGGCTTCACTGGGACTTTTCCTCCTGGCACCCAGTGGAGCCTCCGGCGGCCAGTCTACGGTCTCCGCCAGGCACCGCGTGAGTGGCACGACACACTGAGGACTACGCTTGCGGCTCTTGGGTTTGCTCCCTCTACTGCCGACCCGTCGCTGTTTCTGCGCACCGACACTTCTTTGCCGCCGTTCTACATCCTCGTGTACGTCGACGACTTGGTCTTTGCCACAGCTGACACTGCTGGACTCGCCCACGTGAAGTCCGAGCTGCAGAAGAGACACACGTGTACAGACCTGGGTGAACTGCGCAGCTACCTTGGCTTGCAGATCACCCGGGACAGAGCACGCCGCACCATTACCCTGACTCAGTCACACATGGTGCAGCAGGTCCTTCAGCGCTTCGGCTTCACGTACTCCTCGCCTCAGGCCACTCCTCTGCCTACTCGCCACTCGCTCTCAGCTCTGCCTTCGGATGAGTCCGTAGAGTCGAGTGGCCCGTACCCAGAGCTTGTTGGCTGCCTCATGTACCTGATGACCTGCACTCGACCTGACCTTGCATACCCTCTTAGCATTCTCGCACGCTATGTTGCTCCTGGGAGACACAGACCGGAGCACATGGCTGCAGCGAAGAGGGTGTTGCGCTACTTGTGCAGTACGTCGGGCATGGGGCTTGTGCTTGGAGGGCAGAGTCCAGTGGTCCTCACTGGGCACGCAGACGCTTCTTGGGCTGACGACCAGGCTACGCAGCGGTCGTCACAGGGTTACACCTTCAGCCTTGGTTCCGGCTCTGTCTCGTGGCGGGCTACCCGCTCGTCTTCTGTTCTCGGCTCCAGTTGTGAGGCTGAGATCTACGCAGGGGCCATGGCTGCACAGGAGCTTCGCTGGCTCACCTATCTGCTGACTGACCTCGGAGAGCCGCCTCGTTCTCCTCCAGTGCTGTACGTAGACAACAAGGCCATGCTGGCCTTGTGTCGGGAGCAGAGACTGGAGCACAGAACGAAGCACATTGCTCTTCGCTACTTCCTTGCTCGTGAGCTACAGCAGCGTGGTCAGCTACGCCTTGCGTACGTGGCCTCTCAGGCCAACACTGCTGATATCTTCACCAAGGCACTTGCGCCTTGTGATCATCAGCGCTTCTGTACTCAGCTGGGTCTTGTGCCTACCTTGCCTCACTTGCTCACCCCTTGACCTTGTTTGTACTGTTACATATATATATACACCTGCTCTTGCTTGTTTAGCCTTATATATATATGTAATCCTGCATGTGAACTGGCCTTGTGGCCTTGAACTTGTGCTCGAAATGTGTGGTGACGTTGTGATCCACCCTGAGCTTGCTTTGCTTTGCTTGACTGGTCTTGTGACCCCTTGTCCTCCCCCACTTTGCCTATGGGGGTGTGTCAGATTTATATGACTTAGCTGCTGTAGGCTATAGTGGGGTAGCACATATGGGGTACAGCTTTCTAGGGTTTGTACTTGTACCCAACTTTCCCTTAGTCATTTCATTCCACGTTCATTTTCACATGAACACAATGCTGGTGTCGTCAACAAGCTACTGATGTGTAGATGCCGAATATGTCTTCAGATTAAGAAACTGAATGAGTTAGCTTTGACATTGAGTAAGAACAAGTTATGCAGGGAGAGTCATGGCAGAGAAATGACAAATTTCCCTGACAGCTCATGCTGAAAAAAAAAAAGGTTTCAATAACTTCCAGGTCCATGAATGCTCCCTTCAAATAACCCGTTTCTTTCTGGCTATAAGGCTCTCCGATTTCAGCATTAGCTGGGTACCAATGCTCGACCTGGCGGAATTCCATCTATTCATCAGAGTGTTCCAAATTACCTGCCAATTGAACACACGGTAGCCTCTAGTTTGAACATGGGAAAATATGTCAATGGTAACTTACATGGGGAACTATAACGCGTACGGTAACGATTTCAACGCGTTTGGTAACTCGCTTAACGCGTTTGGTAACTCGCTTAACACGTTTGGTAACTTGCTTAACACGTATGGTAACTATACACTAGCAGCCCATCACGCGAATGGTAACTAGAAGAAACCCTCGCCCAAAATGACCCTGATTCTGGTTTTTCCCGCTCGCGTCAGACTAAATTGACGAATCTTGAAGCAGAAATCTCTGACACACTCTCCGAAATTCTGACACAATTTTCCGAAATTCTGACACACTTTCCGAAATCCTGACACACTTTCCGATTTTCAAGCTAATTGCAAAACGTAAGTGTTGTGAAAACGACTGTTAATACAAAACTGATATTCTGGCGCTCTTTCCGCAAACTGTACGTAAACGCTTTCACAATTGATAAATTTCTTTTTGTCAGGATCATTTCGGCGGGAGTTTCATGTAGTTACCATTCGCGTGATGGGCTGCTAGTGTATAGTTACCATACGCGTTAAGCGACATACCAAACGTGTTATGTGAGTTACCAAACGCGTTAGCGGAGTTACCAAACGTGTTGAAATCGTTACCGTACGCGTTATAGTGCCCCATGTAAGTTACCATTGAAATATTTTCCCTTTGAACATTACGAGTTCTGCTGTAAGAAAACTGGTGCGATAGCTGCGACACAGAGACCTACAATATGGAGGACGCTCCCAGCCCATAGCTCCACGTTTTCTCGTTCCACGTCAGCATCTCATCAATCCATCCGGACCAGCCCCAAGGGACATTCAGGCTGGTTCTTGATCGTACCGTTCTAGACCGTTTTCAAACCAGAGTCAACCGTGTATTTGTTGTAGCCAACTGTGTGACCTGGCCTTTGCCTCTACATCCGCCAATCCCAGCTGACACCTGTATTTGACATTCAGCTGCTTAGGAAGCAACAACTTATTTTGGTCAACCTAGACTGCTAGTGGTTTGATCGTCGCGCGGAGCCATGGCGTCCTCGTCGCTTTCCTGCTTGCAGCAAGCCTCAGCCTGCACGGTGAGGGATCACGGCTAGAAAGAATGAGCTTGTGCTTCTCTAATGCCGCCAGCATTAGGCCTTCGTGGTTTCGCTGTGAAACCTCCTTGGCTCCGTTGTGAAGCCTTGATTGTTTTCGCAGTTAAAAACGTTTCTGACGCGAGTGCATTGTCAGCATTTGGTGCAGGTCAACGGTTACGTTAGTCCATCTCAGGTTCTTCCCTGTCTTATCTCACTCGCACGATGTCTGGTCGATACCTCGTTTTTTAGGGTTTCCATAATCTCCTAACTTAGACACCTCGTTGCATTTGTTAAGACGAGTCGTTTGCGGTAGTCGCAGAGCTCTCTATTGAGGTCTGCTTCCTCGTCCAGTGGTGAATTATGCAGGGTTTAGCGACTGCCAGATCACACCATCAGTAGAGCGTGCGATAAATTTGTTAGTCTACTGTAGAGATGCCTCAATCGTAGAAATTCAAAACGAGTTTGTTGTCAACGCGTTGGACCACACCATTAGCTTGAGCACCAGCAGTGTTCAGTTGCTGATATGCCCTCGGTCTCAACTTACTTCTCACTACGGGTGATGAGAAACGTTCATCCCTCTTGCTGGCGTATACTGGTCCCTTCGGCTGCTCTCTAATCCTGCGCCTGTTTCTATCCCAGCCTCCTCCTCTTAACGAATTTACGCCTCACTCATCCAACACCGCACCCACTTGTTTATACCTTCTGGTCTCCTTACGTTTTTTTCCCTCTTCCCCCCACCCCTCCACCCATCCACCCCCACCTGGTCTCTCCCCAGGCTGCCAGGCTGGCAAACCTATCCAGCTCCCGTAGCTGCCACGTCAGCAGCCAGCGCCTCTCGCTCCCCTCCCTCGCCTGCTCGAGCACCTCCGCGTCTCGCGCCGCATCCGGCGGCGCGGTGCGCGTGAGCGCTGTGAAGAAGCAGGAGGAGCTTTCGGAGATCCGCGGGATGGGGACGGCGGAGATCGAGCAGGCGGTGGTGGACCTCAAGGGCGAGCTCTTCCTGCTGCGCGCCAAGCAGGCCACGCGCCTCGAGTTCAAGCCCAGCGAGTTCGGCCGCATTCACAAGCGGGTGAGGAAGATTCTGGGGATCCGCGGGTGAGGATAAAGGGGAGGGCCGGAGGAGGTGGGGTGGAAAGGGGGAAAAGGGGAGAGGGGGATGGGGAAAGGGGGAATGGTGGAGGGGGGGGAGTGGGAGAAGGGTGGAAATTTTGCAGAGGGGAAAGATGATGGGAAAAGAAGAAGGGGAGAGGGGTGCCTAGCGATGGAGTGTGGAAAGGGTGTACAGGGGGAGGGAGTGGGCGGAAGAAGGGCGAAGAGCGGAGATTGGGGGATTCGCAGGATGGAGATAGCGGGTATTGAGAAGAGGAAGGGTTGCAGGTGAAGAAAGCGAGGGAAGGACGTGGACTGTTTTCGAATCGTGGGCGGGGCCTCATGGGCGGAGACTCATGGGGGGAGGCTCATGGGGGGGGGCTCATGGGCGGAGGTTCATGGCATGCTCATGAGCGGAGGTTCATGGGCGCAAGCTGTTATTTCTTGGGGGGGCTGGGGAAGGTTATTAGTCATGGGCAGGCTAGGTGGCTCTGTTGGCAGCTCCTCTGAGTTGGCACCAGCGGAGCTGCTCATGCACAAGTACTGTGGAGTATTACCGTGGCAGTATATGCCATACCGAGTGCTTCATGTGTATGTACGTTTTATTGGTTTCTAATTGCCTTATGGACGTCCCTTTTCGTGTCCCTGGCAGATCGCACGGATGCTGACTGTGAGGCGGGAGCGGGAGTTGGAGCAGGGCGTTGGGAAGAGGGAGTCGCGAAAGGCGGACCGTGCGTGGAAGAAGAGCATTGTGCCACGCCCACCGCCCTCGTACAACCCGGAGGAATGGAAGAAATAGAGTGGTGATCAGCATGTATGAGAAGTCTGGTTCACGATTGTATGCTGTCTGATGTGAAATCATACGTGCAAGGAAGAAAAATTAACGTTGGGCAATGAAGCCTCCCCCCATGAGCCTCCCCCCATGGCTCATGGGATGCTATTAACGTTGGGCAACTGTTCCTTGAGGAGACATCTGCATCACCCTGTTTATGGAGGCTTTAAGGATAAAATATATTATGTTCAACAAATCGCGCAAATCATTCAGGATGCTATATTGAGTACGACGACTTTCAGCTAGTTTCACCGCGGGTCAACTGGTTTTGACAACGCAGCGAAGAAACGGGAGGGCCTCTGACCCGCTCTGCAAGGCATTGCCCCGAATCGCCAAACAAGATTTGCGTGTGTGGTGTGGTGTGGTGTTCGCTTGATCATCACATGATTGGTTGAAGAAAAACGCCTCGGACTGGTCAAGCGTGGTCGTCACGGTAAACATGCGTGTCTTGCCAGAGGAGAATCTAAATTCAGCAAGACGCTTCGGCGAATTTCGCGACTCGCGAGGTTGCACAAATTTGTGAATGTATTCTGGCAGCCAGCAGCATCCAACACAAACCCCTGAATTCAGCGTCAGCTCTTGTTGCTCATTATTACTCTTCCAACCAGCATTGCAACCAGCTGTGAAGGCCAACGCCAAACCTTAGTCCAGACCAGCACGCAAGCGTTTTTACCACTCTCGACGAAGAACTCATATAATTCTCGACGTATATTACTCCCTCTGCTGAACAAGGAGAAGTCTGTGAATCGATGTCAAGAATTAACGTTGGGCTGTGCAATAAGGTCCGAGATATGCCAAGGGTTGGTTTCCATAGTAACATTTCGAAGGAACCTGGCGTGTCGAGAGGACAGAAGTCCAAACTTGCTGCAGCGGTCAAGATTCTCCTTATCGGAGACAGTGGTACGTATTATCTGCAAGATTGCCTTATCAATGCATGTAATTTTATGCAAGCATTGCAAGAATTCTGGTCCAAAGCCATCCATTTTTTAATTTATCTTCAGTTCGCATTTACAGCTAATTGCAGCACACATACATACATAACGGGGTGTTCTTTTTCCCTCAAGAATCAGAAACCAAAACCCGATTTATATTTTTATACCTTTCTCTGCGTTCTACATTTCTCTGTGTGGTTGATGGCAGCTGTGGGAAAGAGCAGTCTCATTCTCAGGTTTTCAGAGGACGAATTTCGAAGCGACCTCACATCCACAATTGGGTACGAACAACACAGATTTTCCTTTCCCCTCTTCCCCCTCTCCCAATATCATTCTCTCATTGTCCCCTTCCCCTTACCCCTTGATCCTTCCCCACTCCTTCCGTACCTGCTCTTTCCTCTCTCCCTATGCACATTGACTCACACGATCATAGTATTCACGCTCAGCCACACATGTTTGTGCACACAATCACATGCACACACACACAATAATACTCCTAGTTTGGATGGGGGATTATGGAGAATATTAGGTATCATTCTAAAACGTCCCACCTTTCCTTTATTGACTGCAGAGTTGACTTCTTGATCCGCACAATGGAAATCGATGGTGAACCGGTGAAGATGTCTATATGGGATACAGCTGGGCAGGAGAAATTTCGCACCATCACTGAAGGTATATATGGCCGTGATCTGTGTTCTGTGATTCTTCTTGTTCAAACGGCAAGCATTGCTGAATCTGCCAAGATTTTTAACTGTGCTTTACCCAGATGCACATCCACGCCACGTCTATCTTTATCACAGTTATCTTTTGCGCCATTACCAGAGCAGAGTTATACAACCATTCCTAATGTGCTCTTTCATGCGTGCTCTTTCGAGCTGACTCTTTGCAGCCTACTATAGGAACGCTCATGGGATCATTCTCGTATACGACATCACCGACCCGATATCATTCAACAGTGAGCTCTTTGTGATATACTCGCAATTTCGCTTGTGTATTTTCCATTATTTTTTAATTATATCTAACTGCTGTTTTTGTGCTTGGCTGTACAGATGTGCGGGGGTGGATCAAGAGCATTGAGGAGCATTCGACTCGCGGGTTGCGTGTGGTTCTTGTCGGCAACAAGGCTGACATGGACGACCGGAGGGTATGTTGTTCAACACAACAAACAATGAACCATGTTTCAGCCTGTTGTGAGCGCAGCCTTCCTAGAATTTTCTGAAGTGAAAACCCAACGTTAACAATGCTCTCTCTCTCTCTCTCTCTCTCTCTCTCTCTCTCTCTCTCTCTCTCTCTCTCTCTCTCTCTCCTCTCCTCTTTCTCTCTCTCTTTCTCTCTCTCCTCTTTCTCTCTCACTCCCATCTCTCTTTCTCCCATATCTCTCTCTCCCATATCTCTCTCTCCCATCTCTCTCTCTCCCATCGCTCTCCCTCCCATCTCTCCCACCTTCGTCTTCCTTCATGTGCGTCAGGTGATCAGCAAGGAACAAGGGCAGCAACTTGCCAACGAGTTCAATGTCAGCTTTTTTGAAACCGTATGTGTTTTTTTTTCCTTTCTCGCTGATTCTGCTGACTATAAAATTGGCATACGCATGAATCTGACATTGCCCTGTTCCGTATTCTCAAATATTGCATTCACACGGAATGTGTTTGGATCTGTAATTCATAGCGGCACAATCCCAATCCCTACCCTGTTTTACTCTTATGCAGTCTGCTAAAGCAGACATCAATGTCGAGGAGGCATTCCAGTGCATCGCCAAGGAGAGCAAACAACTTTACGACATGATACACTCTCGACATCGCGAGGTGTGCACTTTCCCATTCTCATGTATTTGTTGCCCATGATACCATTCATCACATGGTTTCGCAAGGCTTTACAAATGCACGAGGTTTGATATGCATATTACAAGGTTCTCACAACTTCTCTATGGCCTAGATAGCATTGATTTGCATTTTTCTTCAGGCCTCAACCCTCACCCTTTCCTCCACTCTCCTACCCCTTTGCATGGGCCGCGCAGGTATCAACATGTATCAACCTCGAACAAAAACCAACGCCAGCCCTTACCGGTTCAACATGTTGTGTATGATGTCAGAGAAAATATCTGCTAGTTGCCATACAAATTTTGACAATTGATAGCAGGTCGGTCATAGTGAATAAATCCAAAAAATATACAATAGCGACGTTGGAAGAGATCATGGGTAGGACTCTTTTTTTTTTTTTTTTTTTTTTTTTTTTTTTTTTTTTTTTAGTAGCCCCCACCGTTGTTTAGTATTTTCTGCCAGGTCATTGTATTTTTTACATTTACTAGAGGAGTACTTTTTGCTAATGTCATCCTCCTAGTTGAGTAGGAGACAATGTCTACTCACGTGATTAATAAATTCCGTACCATTTGGCATGCAACTCTATGAAACAGATTGTTATCTTTCACCACACCTCGATCTTGTATGGCAACAAAGTATCTTACAGCTACCGTAGCCTTAACCGACGGTCGGCGGTGCTGGCTGAGCGGCATCTTTCTGGTCGTCCAAAGTAACCGGTCGGCGAAATTCTGCATGTGCGCGTATTTCGCCATAGGCGGTTTTGGCGAAAGTCGACCTGCGGAAACGGCACCACGCGCTCTACAACCTGACGTGTGCGCAATGCGCATCACGTGCGCGACGTGCACGCAGCTGTCTGCCCTGCAGATTTTGACATACTTTGTTAGGTGGCGCGCATGTGCGCACGTGTTCACCCGTGACTGCAGTGCTAGCAGGCCACCTTGATGCAACGCTGGCAAGCCGCCTTGCTGCAGCATTGGCAAGATGCCTTCCTTGCTTTGTAGGCAAGTCACCTTGCTAGGTTGTTAGGTGTGTTCCAATGTATTTCTTGCTAGATCGACTTTGCTTTGTGATTATCTTTCATAGTGAAGCTCGTGCCAATCTCACCTACGAGCATAACGAAGTTGCACAAGCGTTAAGCAACGTTGCGATCACCAAGTACAACCTGTAGCCTCCCACGAAGTCTACTCCCGTTGTAGAGCGACTCTACGCATGGTGCAGTGAACATGGAAAGGACCCAAAAGAGACCTTCATATTAGCCCGAGCATTGCACGTTAGCAAGTCGTGGCCGTCTAGAGAACGACCAAGGAGTCGCTGTAGGAGTAGAAGATACTTTATTGACATGAGAGGTTGTTGTGCAGGAGTGCCACCAACGTGGTGAAATCGGTGATGAGAATCTATAGCTTTTCCTCCTACAAACTCGTGCATAGTG